GACTCGACAGACAGCTTATCCGACGAGAACAAATACCTTCACCGTGTTTTTACGAAGAACAACTACAACAACGACTTCATCCGACGAAACACTCACCGACCCACTACCACTACCGAAACAAACGACACCGCAACCCCTACGACTACAGCAACCATACCGTACATAAAAGGCATGTCTGAAAACATCTCGCGCATCTTACTACCCTTCAATATCCGCGTCGCCCACAAACCCATCACCACACTACGTCAGTTACTAACCAACGTTAAAGACAAAGACGAACCGAGGAACAGACAGGGAACGATTTATAAGATCAATTGTTCCGACTGCCAAGCCTCCTACATCGGTGAGACTGGCAGAAACCTCACAACAAGACTGACTGAACACAGACGGGCGACGAGGAAAGGTGATGTCAGCAATCACATTGCTGAACACCATCGACTTACCAACCACAACATTGACTGGGACTCTGCGCAATGCCTAACCTACAGCACTGACTATTTTCAACGACTGACTCTGGAAAGCTGGTTTACTAACTTAGAACAGACTCCCCTAAACAGATGTCAACAACTACCCGCTCCATACAAACGACTCATTCACGACATAAACATCACAGACGACCGAAAAAGAACGACCTAACTTTACCGGCAGATCGAAACAGACCAATCACGACCGACTAACGTCACTTGAGTCTTACAGCCAATAACATCATGGCAAAACCAACCGATCATTTTACACGAACTGGAATAAGAACATTCTACTGACAACAATCATTCACTTGACTCTGATGATGACTTCCGCACAGGTTGTCGAAAGGTCAGTCACTACCACCGACAACAGTCCTTCTCAGGACTGCACTCACCCGTACGATCAGACTACACCTTCATATATATTCATTGTTAGAAAAGCAACAATCAGTGAAAAAATTGCTGACACATCGACCTTTTCAACCCCATGTTAATTCAATTTTATCTCTTTTGCCCTTGTTAAGTTTACCTATTCGCCCCTTCCCACCGACACAGCCTTGTATCGTAATTTCATGAGCTATTAGCCAAGATTGAATTGGGGAAAGGGGGCTGCTGCTGATTAATAGTGAGGTAGAAACAAGAATGTTATTCTTTACATAGATAGAACGGTATCCGGTCAATTCGCCACCACGACAAACTCGCCACCACAAAACTCGCCACCACTCAAAGTGAACAAAGTGAAATCGTCACCGATGGCGATTTGACTTAATGGTTATGTGTGGCCTCTCGTGTGAAACTTGCAGCAAATGAGAGCTAAGGTGTAGTAGTGTATTGAGAAAAGGGAAAGGTACTTAGAAGTTGGGTGAAGCGTCTCAATAATGGAACGTTCAACGAAATAAAACATGTTGATATCACGAAGATTATCATCAGTTTGCGAACAGCGAAACCAGGGTGATATTCGCCGAGTGAATAAGCTAAGTGATTTCCACCGATATGACGATATGGCTTCCTTTCCATGTTTGGTAAACCCTTTGTTTCAAGCACAAAGAGTTTCGGCGAGAGCTTTAACACGACTTTCGATGTGCAATCAAACCTAATGAAACTTGTACACGTGCATTTAAAAGATAATAATGCTGCCGCACATTCTGTTGATAGTGACATAATTTACGCAGTGATTCATCTACCTGCGTGTTCCCAGACGTTGAGAAACATATCTCTGAAGTTATGTTCTGCGGGAGAGAAAGTATACCACAACCAGAGAAAATAGCGCGCGTATAGGAGAAAAATGTTGCTTTTGTAACACAATCTCATCCGGCTTTGCCAAACTTCAAGAACATACAAATCGATGGAATGATATCTTAAAACTTAGTGGAAATTCCCAACAAGATATCCTGATAAGAGCTAAACTTCAAGGGCTGAAGATTTAATAGTGTTAGCGAATGGCAGGAGTCGCACAGGCCTATTAACACCTACTGATCGGGAAATGACATCTTAAAATTGATCCTCACTATTACATCACAGAGGAAAGTCATTAAGAGATATCCTAATAAGAGTTTAATTTTAAGGGAAGAAGATTTAAAAGCGCTAGCGAAATTCCAGGAGTCACACAGGCCCTATAAACACCATCAGTCAACTGCCTTTCGCTTTCCGACTTGCTGGCGTGTCAACTTCCGAAAGGTAGAGTTATTCCCTGATCAAGTTAGCCCTTTCATTGCTCTAATTCAGCCGTCCCTCGTTCAGTGATCGAGATAGTAGATATACCATACAATGTTCGCGATTAGTTAATTTTCCTTTACTTAGGAAAGTAGATTAACAACACGATTGTGTACATATAGGAAATGTCCTCACATTAGTAGCGCTATGTAACGCAATACACTAAACACAGCTATCGTGGCGCAATGCACTCTGGTTAAAAGCTGCTATGCATTCTGGTAAGTAGTTATGAGTTCGAGAACTCGCATCCCCTGTGTTCTTTTCCAATCCTGATTATAACACTGCTCGCTCGCTACACTCGCTGCGCAGCAATCATACGAAAGGTTAGATCCTGAAATATATTTACATCCTAGTTTTATAATACGAAATTAAGAGTGCGCGCAAATACAGCGAAACTCGGCAGAAAGTGACTTGGCAAACTTTGGGAGTTCCTGAAGAGCAAACGGATCAAACTTAGAATTTATTAGAATTATAAGTACTTTGTCAGTGATATTTGTGTAGCGAATTGACCGTAAACTAATAATACTCTTCCTACATGATGTGTCAACAAATTTTGACGCTGTATACGATATCTTTTTTATATTTTGAGTTGCATACTTGCTTTAAAAAACAAAATTAACTACTGCACTTAACTCCAGAATAGAAGTGATAAATTAATGTATCAAAATATATGATGTTTACATCATGTTTCTCTTTGATATTATTTTGTTGCCAGTAAAAGTGAAACCTGGGACATACGCAATGTTTACTTCTGGTGTACCAATTTCGGGGTGCCAACTAACGACCAGATACTGTGGTAACCCATTTCCTCAAGACATCGCGAAAGTGCAAATAGGCTGAACAATAGACCGAACTTGAATATAATCAATCTTAGGGACCAAACATGTCATAATTCTGGTAATGGTCCCTTAAACATAAATATATATAAAATTTGCTGATTGTGCTACCAGTGCTACAGTTAGAAAGAGTGCAAAATGAATCCTGAATTTCCAAATCGGCCAAAAATTATGCAAGCACAATTTATTGGGGCTTAATCAGTAGCTTTGCCAGGAATATGATTGATTCCCTGTCGAACTTGTAAAGAGAAAAAACTCGTCTGAAATTATCTGTTTCACAAAAATAGAGTCGCTTGGAATACTTACTTCTCGCAGACCGATGTATCTCACAGTGCTCTGAGAACTGAACCTGAGACATTTTTATACAGTTGTACCGATCAGAGTTTTGTGCTGAATGAATTTCGAAGTCGTGGCCTCTCCACAATTAAGATTATTTTTCAACCTCTTTCAGTGTTATTTTTACCTCTATTAGCTTTAATCAGGAAGTTTAACCGAAGAGTTGCATGTAAAATTAGCTATATGAAGCTTTAATTAAACATACGATGTATTGCTGATAGAAAGGAGAAAGTCTGTTTATTAATGTAATTGAAAACAGCAGCGACAGGGACTACTAAAGAAACAAAATTTTCAATAAAAATGTTTCCAAATTTTAAAAGCAGTAACGAGTGATATGATTAGGTAGACTTCATTCAGGTAGCCTGCAGAAAAAGTGATTTTTTCGCGCTTTTTTTTATGCGAACAGAGGTAAGTGCGAAGCGCGCTGGAGGAACGCCCAAAAAGTAAATTAACTATAAGGCATGAGGGCACACCATTGTTCAAGCTGGGAATTGGTTATAATCTTAACTGTCGGCTGGGAGCTGACGGACGAAGGTGGTAAGTTTCTAGTAACTATCCAAATATTCAAGCAATATTTAATGTCAGTGTGAATAATCTTCGATTTCAGACGGTCAAAGTGTCATATGGTATGAACCACTACCGGTTGAGACAGTAACGAGTTCAACCACTGACCTGCCTCCGGCAGAGATGAAGGTTTTTGAAGGATATCCTGCGTCTCTAAGCTGGAACTTCAGTTTGACGTCATTGACTCTTTTTGTGGCGACTATAAAGTTCGACACTGTTACCCTTGCACTTAGTGGATCAGGAGGATCAGGTGCAAATGTGGAAGATGCTTTCAAGGACAGATTCAATTTAACTTGGATTTCCCAACGAATCACTTTGGTAATCTTCAATGTGACAGCCTCAGATGATGCAAGTAATGGAGCATTTGAGTGTGAGTTGGGTACTAACAAAGGATCTTGGAGTCGTGATATTCGCTTGAATATTATTGGTAAGCAAGAATTACTCTATACTTGAGCTTCAGTGGTAATAATGATTGCTTGAATACTATAAACGTCTTCAAAGTACTTGCAATAAGATAGAAGTTGTTTTTGTCTTCTCCGAAAGCATTCATCTTGCAGTTGTTAGATTCATATTGCTATTATGCAAATGATTTTAAATTTCTTGAATCGAAAAGTTGCATGGAATTTTTTATATGAAATCAAAAAACTACGAATGAGAGGTTTCGTGTTGAGATAAAAATTCATATATTTTTTGGACTTCTCACCACTTTTAGGCAATTAGCAATAAAACGTAACGTCAAAGTTAATTTTATCTGATAAAATTTAGTGCGTAACTAGTAAACAACTGAGTTTAAATAGTTTTGAAGAATGGAAATTTTTTGTCCATGTGAATCTGTTGTTGTGGATGATTGTGGCTACAATCTAAAAGACAGAAAAGGGGATAGGCGAATGTGTCCATCAAGTTGACGCGATTGTTAACTGTCGAAAAACACTCAAAACTGATTTTCGGTGCGCATGCCATCAAGAAGTACAACGGCGGATAATAAAATAGGAATTAAACTCGATCGCAAGCAAATAGATAATTTTACCTGAACCAACCGGAATAAGATGCCCTGATTTGTGGAAAATGAAATGAGAAACCTCTTTCCCTTACCCTCTGTCTGCTTTGGGTAGCTTCTTCGCATTATGCCTGGAAATATTTGCTGGCACTCAGCATTTAGTATTTCCCCCTCGAGTTCATCCAAGACCAAGTCTTGAGCGATGAAGTGGGCATACTGTCCATGTATCAACGTCTTTGGGTCGTTGGAAAACAACTGCTGTACTCAATATCAAGTCATACTCGGTGGACACAATACTGAATGAAAAATGAGCCAAAGGCCCTGTTATTTCCTTGTCACACGAAAGCAAAGGTACTATTCGCCTATCCTTTTTTCTGTCTTTTGGATTGTAGGCACAATCAGCCACAACAAGAGACTCCAATGAATAATAAATCTCCATTCTTCAAAATATTTAAACTCAGTTGTTTACTACTTGCACACTAAGTTTTATCAGATGAAATTAACTGTGACGTTACTTTTTATTGCTAATTGCCTAGAAGTAGCAACAAGTCCAAAGAATATATGAATTTTCATCTCAACACAAAACTTCTCATTCACACTCGTATACAAAGCAGCACAAATACCCCAGAAGAACAACTCTACAAAGAGTAAGTTTATCATTTCAACTTCTTATGTTTATAATATTAAACGTTTGCTTCTCTTAGCATATATAAAAATAGGTTTTTGATGCTACCCTACTTTCCACACGGCACATAAGCAAATAGAAAGTAAAATCTTACTTTATTTCAAATTTAAACAGTGATTTTACTTTTTTTGCAAAAACATAGGGGAGACATTGTTCTAAAAGTCTGTGGAATAAGTAAGTTTTTCATTGCTTTTCCAAATACAAAGGAGGTCTCCAAAAATTGGCTAAATTTGACCTTCGAATGACGCTAATTATGGGTGAATTGAGTTTTATCAATTTTCTCGGAAACAAAAGGAGTTTTTTTTTAACAAACTACCGGTGACTTGGTTTTTTTTACCTACAGCCGGTGAATGTTTGATTTTTCGCGAGAATTACTCTTAATGGTAAGCGTGCTATAGACGCGCTTATGTGGCCAACATTACCGTGCAGCGTGCTGAACACACTTTACATCTGGCTAAGAAATGTATCAAAGGACATTTTCCTCTGTATTTTATGAATCATTTTTCTTTTAACGTAAGGTTCACTTGCGCAGTAAGCGTAATCGTAGGAGGCAAGTTGTCAAAAGATCTTTTTACTGTCATGGCCGTACTGTTTAGAATAATCTTGTTTCCATTAATTATTTCAATTTCTTATTTTTCCCTATAAATTTTGTTCGGCCGTCGATCGATAGGGGGACTTTGTTTGACTTTGTTGCTATGCGTCTGCTACAAGTGAATGATTAACCGTGCTTCTTCACGCGTAATCAAACAAATATAATATATTGGGAGTCAATAGCTATTTAATACGCAATGGTAAATAAAAATGTTTTGGAGTAGGTTCATACTCTACTGGGTAAAAACCCTGGATAGTTTTCAAAGTCTTTTTCAAAGACGATCAGCCATCGAGAGAACGAGAGTTTGGGGAGGGTGATACGAACAATTTCAGACGATACTAACCTCCGACCGCCTGTGAATACATAAAAATTAAAATTTTATTCCTCTAGTCATTTGTAATTACAATTATTTTGGACGTTGACGAACTGACCTGCAAGCGTTGGCAAACTGAGTTTAGAGGTTGGCGAATCTACCTCATACGTTGGCGAACTGACGTTGGCGAGCTGAGACGTTAGCGAAATAACTGATTACCGACGTGTTAAGTCTCTCTATATTTATTCCGTAGTTGCCTTTATCGCTCACGGTCGTTTTATGGCTACTTTAGTGACTTTCCTTGTACCGTGTTTTGTGCCTCAAATATAGATATCGAAGGCCGGTTACTTCAACCGGTCCCAAACACCAATCCTTGCCTCTCGAAGTTGACCGATCTCCCCTAAACTGGCGCAAGAGAGAGAAAATTGCGAATACCTACCCGTTCGAGCAGTAAAACTTTCCAAATTATGCTGCAGCGACCCGAGAGGTGCACCGTTTTACCACTCGTAGTGACGTGTAATGCTTACTTTGTTCAGGAATTTTCAGTTTTTTCCATTCATCGGCTGATTGAGGAATGTTCTTCTTTTGGGGAGATTGCCCAGCGGCAGTTGGAATTTGTGTCATTTTATGCTCAATACACTCTCCTAGAAAGATACGTGGCAATTTCTTGGCCACTTCCTGTTTTTCCCCTTCAAACCAGAAACTGTTGTTTCTTTTCATGTGCCCTCATGGCTGTCGTTCTCGACATCTGAGAGCTTCATGCCGCTTTTCGACAAGCAGAGGACTCGCGCAGGCGTCCCATCGGTCGATCTTCCGATGGAGGTATCGCCAGTAATCATCATTCTTTTTCTCCACTCCTGAAGTTGAAATATTGGGTGGGAGTTAAATACTTTCTAGAAATCTCCCATTATCTGAAATCAAATTGCTAATGTGATGCGCCTAAGTGGCTGCATGAATTTGGCTCTTGAATTTTATCGAATTTTTATTGTATTATACCTACCTCAATCTTAAGTACTTCATGTTTGCGGGTATGTTGATGTATACGAGAAATTTCCTTTTTTCGTTGCGGAATTGCTGGAAATCAACAAGTAAAAACCTTGGTCACGGACTAATGCCCCAGCCCTTGTCAAGGCAAGTATGGCTAACTCTTAAGAATCTCAACTTGCTCGCTCAGAGAAGAGGACAGCGAGGAAGAAACCACCTAAGACGGCCAAACGCTAGACCTATCAATGTTATTATTCGTGTACAGCGTCAGCAAAACTTCCAAGAGAAATGGCGTGGTACAAACCAAAGTAAATTATTTATATTCCAGTTGACATCTTTGTAGCTAAGATAACCTATCGTAGGACCTTGCATTCAACAATCCATGGAAATAATTCTCAGAAATCAAAAGTAACCGTGGCACACTTGAACGTACGATCGTTGAAGACAAGAGAGCATCTGATTCATGTGAGGAGTTTAAAGGATGAAAGGAAGTATGCAATGTTAGCAATTTCAGAATCTTGGCTAAATTCAAGTGTAAAGAATGCTGAGGTCGAAATTGACGGATAGAGTTTGTCAAGACTGAACAGGCCGATAAACATAAAGAATGAGTTTGGTGGTGGGTTGTGCGTGCACATGCGCAAGATCTTGAGGTCTAAAGTATATACTTAAAGACCTATTCGGAATGTCAGACACTGGTTTTCACCAATTATGGATGCAAGTTCAGCTCAAAACGCTCAAGTCGTTCTTGTTGTGCGTCGCTTACAAGCCTCCTGATTGTGATATTGCCTGCTTTGAAGACTTCAGGGACCATTATACGCAAGCGCTTGATTAGGGCCCAGTGGTCGGAGATCTCAGCTGTGATTTGCTCGTTAGCTCTTCTAAATAAAAAACCATTAAACAACCTCTATACAAGTCTGAATATGAATCAGCTTTCTACCCAGCCCAAAAGAGTGAGAGAAACATCTAAAACTCTGATTGATGTCATTTTACTTCAAACCCGGAAATTACTGTGGATAGCAGAATAATGGAGACTCACATCGGTGATCACTATTTAGGCTTTGCTGTGTTAAATCTTAGCCACCGACTGCTTACTTTGTCGCAAGGAACTATAAGTACTACGATCTCCAGAGCTTTTTTAGCGACCTTAGCAATATCCCTTGGTATGAAAACATTTTTTCTGACGATTAAACGAGAAACTGCTCCATTTCAATAAAGCCTTCCTCCAGGTACTGGATAATCACCGTAACGATTACAAAAGCTGACGTCTCGAGCGTTAGCCCTTCGTCGGAGCGAATAGAGGAATTGTGGGTTTTGCGTGCTTTTAAAGGCAGAGAATGGAGCTACGTTATTGGTGGGAGCTTGGCATCGAGAAAAACACGAATAAATTAGTGGAATGAAAAGCGTTCATTGATCCCTGTGGGATTAAGACTGCCGGTTTGAAAGATGAGCTTTTGTTCAAGAGTTTTACGGCTTTCCGTGCTACCTAGGTGTAAGGAAAGACCGCAGATTGCCATATGTTGCTTAGAATGATTAGGTAAATCTAAATGTCTAGCGACTGGTTTCGTGGTGTCCTTGTCATTCCTTTCCACGTCTCGAAGGTGTTCTCGGAATCGGTCACCTAGTCTTCTGCCTGTTTCGCCGATGTATATCTTTTTGCAATAAGTGCAAGTTATGCAATAGATTACATTGGCGGAGGTGCACGTGAAGTGATCGGTGATCTTAATGGATCGTTTAGGTCTCGATATTTTATCAGTGTTGTGAATGAAAGGACACGTTTTGCATCGTGTACGAGCGCATTTAAAAGTGCCTGGTTGGCCATTAGTCTGAAAAGAACTTCTGAACAAAAAATTGCCTAT